ATAGATGTTGTTTCTCATCAATGTTTCTCTCTCTGTATCCCTTTCCTTTCCTCTGTCTTATTAAAAAAACAATTAAAGCATATTTATTAAAATCTACAGAAATATCTGAACCCTACTGTAAAATTAATAATCATGTGATAGTAATATTATTAGCAATCATCATTGTATACTGACTAAGTACCAAATACTATGCTAAGTCCTTACAATATTTACTTAATTTTCACAATAACAAAAGGGGATACAGGTATTATAACTGTCATTTGGGTACATGAGAAAATTGATAATTTGAAAGTTTATGAAGCAAAGCCAAAATTTGAATTCTGATTCTCTCATATTTGCCATTACAAAAAACATATCCATTTTTATCTTGAATTCAGTGAAACATTTTAATTTATTTGAGAGAAAATACTGCAGAGGATATAAACAAAATTTCACTAACTTTTTATTTCAATCTATCTTTTTGTTATTATCATACTTGTTGTTTCTAACACTTAGCAGAAGGAGAGCTGGCATCTATGCTTCATCATACCAGGCAGCAATATATTGAATCCATTAGTACAAAATACCTAACCATAGTTACCTCAATTTGTGTATGTAATATATTGTAGAGTTGTCATGAACATTCCTTATTTCATTTTTAAATGTCATGATATTTAAGAATGGCAATTTTCTGGAAGTAATGTTGCCATATAGTGCCCATTAAACTATGTGCCACACTTAAGAAAATAAATTTCAATTAAAAAATGTTAGACACTGGACTCTTTCAAAATCCTTTCTGTTCTTTTGCAAGACATTTTTCTGGCAAAAAAAAAATCGTAAAATCTTTGTATTTGATAGACTATTTTACTCTTAAACTAAAAGTCTTTATTAACATAATTGGAAAATAAAATGCATCCTCAACATTAATGTAAATTAACTGCTGAATACTTAGTCTATTATTTTTGATAGACATGCTACGAAATTGTGAAAATGATATGCCTCCAAGTGGCAGAGATCATGATACTGGGTTTGAAATGGAGACTCTAGGGCCCAGAGCAGCTACAAGAGAAAGAAATCAAGAAAATCCTTACATTGACACAAAATCTGGGGGAAAACTGCAGCAAAAATATCATTTTGGGAGAAGACAACTTGTTCTATATTTAAAGTTGGCTATCTTAAAATACACACACACACACACACACACACACACGGCTAAGTGACCAATCATATGTACGTCCAACCATCCGACCAACCCACTGACTGATACATATGACATGCACTGGCAATTTAGAAATAAACATTGACTTTGTGCATGATCAATACATATAAGCTCTCATTGGTGCCAATCACATCCGTGTGTTTCGATGCATCAATGTCTCTCATGAATTTGGTTGTTTTTGTTGATATTATGAAGCTGAAAGGGGCAGCAGTGACAAAATGTATATGAAGACCAACTATTGGCACAACATACCATTTGAGTGATGATTCCATCACTTCAATGGATGAAGCCGAAAAGGAAAATTTTCCCATTGAATTTCTTAATAGTATTACTCCTTTGGAAATGCCGTGTCATAAATTAAAATTGACAGTAGATGCAATCATCGTGCTACTGAGAAATCTGAAATGGGGTCTTTGTAATGGTACTAGATTTATTACCCAAAGATTTCCACCTAACATAATTGAAGCTAAAATTAACAGGATCTGCGGAAGGAGAGGCTGTTCTATTCCAAGAATTGCTTTGTCCCTGTCTGACATTGGCTTCCCATTTAAATTAATTCAAAGACAGTTACCTGTGATGCCAACATTTGTGATGACTATTAATAAATCGTAAGGAAAAACTCTAGGTAGAGTAGGAATATACCTACTTGAACCCGTTTTCGGACATGGTCAGTTATATATTGCTTTTTCTTGAGTTTGAAGAGCTTGTGACATTAAAGTTCTAAATACTTCATCACCAGGGAAATTAGTAAAGCATTCTGAAAGTGATTTTAATCTTAATGTGGTCTAAAGGAAGATATTAGAATAAGTTTAATCAATTTATCAGTCATATCACTGTTGTTTTATATCATGTTTGTGTTGTTTTATATCATGTTTTTATTTTTTATATCTTTGTTGTTATATCATGCTATTATTATTTATTAATCATCTTTATATTATTTTCATATATGTTTTACTAATTTTCTTTCATCTCTGATACTTCTATTATAAAGTGCAAATAGCGATATTAAAATATTTCTTCTAATTAATTTCCTTACAATGTGCATGAATTCATGCACCAGCCCACTAGTCCTATATAATAAAGAGCTAATATACAAATGGTCATCAAGCCCTCATCCTCTTGAGCCCTCATGCTGGAACTGCCCAGACAGTCAACATAGGGAGAGAGAAATGGGGACCAGCCAGGCTGTGGCCCTGGACATCTGCAGCTGTAGCCCAGGTAAAGCTGCCCACCCACAGTCACCTTCAGCTGCGGCTGACCTGGGCAAAGCCAGCCCAGGTCCTGGGTGCTTGCAACCGGCCAGAGGAGGAAATCTCAGGTATGGGGTGAGGCAGAGGTGGTTAGGGTGATCAGGCTGTCAGGGGAGCAGATAGGAGCAATCAGACTGGTAGGGGAGCAGTTAGAAACAATCAGGCAGGCAGGCAGGTGAGCAGTTAGGAGCTAGCAGTCTTAGATTGCAAAAGGCAGTCAGAAATCCCCCGAGGGGTCCCAGATTGGAGATGGTGCAGGCCAGGTTAAGGGATCCCCCCCCCCCCCCCATACCCCTATGCACGAATTTCACACACCAGGTCTGTAGTAGTAGTATAAAGAGAAATCTTGCCACCTACACCAGGTCTGTAGTAGTAGTATAAAGAGAAATCTTGCCACCACCTATGAATGGCAGACAGCCCACTGTCTTCATGCACAAATCCCTTCACTTCTCTCTCAAAATCTCTAGTTCCCTCAAGGTATTCTGTTCTTTTAGCTTACAGATACCAGACATATGCAGAAGCAACACATCCTCTTCAGCTTATAGGTATTTAGCCAATAAGTTGTGGAATGAGTGTCTCAGACATTCTGAAAGAGGATCACCTCTTGTACATATTTATCATCTCTCTTATCATCTGCTCATTCTGATTGCCCTCTTTCTCTACCATTGTTTCCACTGATTTAGGTTAACTACCTGGTGGATAATCCATGCCCTTATCCCTAAGGGTTCTGAGCCCTGCATTCATGTACTTCTTTGACTGAGACTGCTACACTTGTTTATTATTATCTAAAATTAGCCAGGATGATACCAAGTGATGCCCTAGTGCACATGTGTCAAACACAAGGCCCGTGGGCCAAATCCGTCTCGCCAGGCCTTGCAATGTGGCCCGCACCGCGCTGTCATCACTGCACTCCGCTGCGTTTCCATCACAATGACAGTTTATGACTGTTCAGTAAACCATTCGGCCCACGATTTAGGCTCGATTTTAGATTTTGGCCCCTTCTCTGATTGAGTTCGACACCCCTACCCTAGTGGATTGCCTGCATCTTACAAACATTTCTTCCTGATCCTACTTTATCACAGCAACCTTACATTCTGGCAGGATAATGACTCCACCCCTTGCCTACTAATGTCTTGGTGACTAGTTGGCAATTATAGGTTCAAGTTTGAGATTCTTTCTGTGTCACCAGGTGGAAAGATTTCTTCCTAGAAACCAGTATGTGTATGCACATAAGACCCTAGATTTGCAGTGATGGAAAGCACATTTGTGCTCCATATGAGTACCTGTGAGGAATGCTAAATGGGACTATTCTAGTTTTTAACCTTATTTCCTGTACCCATCTATCCAACATCAATAGGGCACAAAATTAATTTGTAGTGTACTATCATTAATTTAGTGTGTATACTGTATCTTGAAAAATGTCACTACATGCTTTATGGGTATCATTTGCAAGCAGGGACCTTAGCTATTCCTTTTAGGAGTGTTTCATTGCTCTGTCTCCCCAGAAACTCCCTGATGGTGTTATATGGGATAAAACAAGTGTAGCCCTAACCGGCTTGGTTCAGTGGATAGAGCGTCGGCCTGCGGACTGAAGGATCCCAGGTTTGATTCTGATCAAGGGCATGTACCTTGGTTGCCAGCACATACCCAGTAGGGGGTGTGCAAGAGGCAGCTGATGTTTCTCTCTCATCAATGTTTCTTACTCTCTATCCCTCTCCCTCCCTCTCTGTAAAAAAAAGAAGTGTAGCCAATTGACAAATGGCCACAGTTGCTTGGCCTATTTAAAAAGAGGTCCCTTGCTTGATGTGATGTTAGTATCCCATAATGATAAACCAAAATACTCTATAAGCCCTGGAATAGTGGTCTTCAGAGGCCCTATGGGACAGAAAGGTCAGTCTGTACAGGTGTTATCAAGCTGAAATGCTCTCTCTTCTAGAGGAAAAGTGGTTCCATGTGACCAATTCCTGGGACTCCTTGGGAGATGGTGCTGACTGCCAGTCTCAGCTTTGGTCTCCACTGCAGGTGTGTCGAACAGTTGGTAGCATTAATAGTTTAACTGGTCTTTTTATTCGTGTTCTGTGGGTTTTTTTGTTGTTGTTGTGGTGGTGGTTTTCTGTTTGTTTGTGTGTTTTTTGTTGTTGTTGTTTTTTTATTGTTTGTGGCAAAATGCCCAGCATAGAACATTATCACAAGTGATCGGATGTGCAAAAGAGGATAGGGACTAAGTACAAGTGGGAGACACGACTTTCTTTTTAAATAAATACTTCAAGGCGTCTGGGTCCTAAAACACCTGGGCTCTTTGTGGGCCGGAAGGGAGCTGCCCTGCCTGAGGAACCACGGAGACTCAGGATGCCCCTCCCCCTGTAAGCAACGCTTGGAATCACAGTCGTGATCACAATGAACGCCGTTCTAGAGCCCTCCCCAGACCTCTCTCCACACGATCAGGCTGGCCCAAGACGTCAGGATTTCCAGAAGTTCCATGGTCTGAAAGAAGCGAAGTCTTTGGCGCTCCCCTCCAGGCCCCTAGCCTCTGCGCGAGGGGATGAGGGGACCAGGGGAAGGACGCGCCTAGATGACCTTCTTCACCTCGTCAAAAAGGACCAGGACGAAGCCGCTGCCAATGCCCCGAAGCAGGTTGCACCAGGCGCCCTTGTAGAAGGCTCTGAACCCCTCCTCTCTGAGGATCCGCTTCCCGCAGTGAATGATCCCCCGGTACATGACTTCGGCCCCTCTGCGCCCCGACTGCATCATCATCCGCCGCCTGACCGTGTCGAAGGGGTAGGAGAAGAAGCCGGCCATGGCTGTCCCCAGCTGGGCGATCAGCCAGCTGACCATAAAGTGCTGGTCCATGAGCTCGGGGATCAGGCCCTTGGCCGTGTTGTAGACGCCGAAGTAGGTGGACCGGTAGAGGATGATGCTCTGCGCGGAGATGGTGTAGCCCTGGTACAGGCCCCGGACGCCATCGGACCTGCAGATCTTCACCAGGCAGTGCCCGAGGCCTCGGAACTCCCGATCGGCTTCGGATTTGCCCACGTCGGCAGCCAGGCGGGTCCTGGCAAAGTCCAGCGGGTAGACGATGCTGAGGGCGGTGACCCCCGCCGCCCCGCCCGCCGCCACGTTGCCGGCCACGTACCTCCAGAACCGCGTGTGGCTGTCCACGCCGCGCAGGAACACCCGCCGGTACCTCTCGTTGAAGGAGAAGTTGAGGGCCTGCGTGGGGAAGTAGTAGATGACGTTGGCCAGGTTGCCCCGCCAGAAGGACAGCACGCCCTGCTCCCGGGGGATGCGCCGCAGGCAGTCCACCATCCCCTTGTACTGCCGGTCCAACGCGATCTGCTGGCTGGCCTGCTGCACCTGCAGCAGCAGCTTGATCCGCTCGATCGGGGCCACGGACGTCTTGGAGACTGCAGCCACGATGCCTCCCACCAGGAAGTCCTTGATGAAGGAGTCTAGGTGTTCCGTCATGGTGGTGGAGCAGGGTGGGGGCTGAAGGGGGAGGCAACGGGCTCAGGACCCGGTGGAGGTGCTGAGAGCCAAAGGGTGGGCGCCGCTGGCTCGCAGATGCTGCAGCTGATGGGACCAGAGTTCAACCAGCCTTGCGGAGTGGGATCCCATTATGGTAGGGTCATTGGCCTGCCCCTAGGGGGCTAGCCTGTTCTGAGCCCATTGTGACAGAATATGAGTGGCTGGTGGCAGGGGCAAACTGAGGCTCACCAGCCAAGCCATTCTATTGGATGGTTGAGTTATTCTTAGAGAGAGAATGGTATCCAGTAGGCCTGTGCTACATGAGCTTTACCCAGACTTTCTTGTCTCTAATTTTTAACCCTTTCTCCTTCGAGGTCTGGGAACAGTCAATCAAGCTATTCCCCCCCCCCCCCCAAGATCTATGCAGTATTATACATTCTAATCCCAGGCCACATTTATTGTCATATACATTGGATGACTCAGAGCACCCCTACAACCTCTGTCCATTGGGCGAATTTTTTTCCTCAGCGATTTCTTTCAAGGTCAACCTTAAGAACTGTAGTGTAGTAGCAGTCCACTCAAGCAGATATGGCTTGAATTTACTTACCTATGTAACCCATCCATCCATGAGCTAAGTGCAGCATTTTTTTTTCCTCTTCTGTCCCCTGGTCATGAGGGGACTATAAGACCATAGATGTGAGCTGGGCTAGACAAATCAGTATACTGGCACTGCATGATATGGGCACCTGATTTCTTGAGTCCAATTTTTCAAATATAATTGTCCCACAATCAATGCAGATATATCAAAACATCCTAAATTCTATAGTAATGAATATTTCAGTCTACAAATTATGTAGCATGAAGGTTCAAAGATCATTTACACTTAATGGCTTAAATGCATTACTCTCTCATAATGAATGGGGATATATTGTTACATGTTAGCTTTCATTTACAGGAAAGATCCTAATTCCATTAAAGAGGATTTCTCTTAATTACTTTTAAAATAAAGATGATGATTTATTAATATCTCTGATGTAAATGTACAACAACCAGTTTTTAAGTCATAACTTTCAGTAGTGTAAATTTTCCTAAGTTCTTTTCACTGGAGTTTGATTTTAGGATAAATTGAAACTTTTGAATGGTACCATCTCGTCATCTGTTAGACAGTGACACACAATAGAGCAATTTTAAAATGAAAAAAGAAATGAAACAATGTTTAAAAGTAAAGGTAAAATGGCTTCAATTTCCCAGATTTCTGATTTGACAGCAGACTGATTTAATAACTGTACAAGTGGGAACATCACATTCTAGTCCAGAGCCATACTAAAACTAAAATTCATATTTTCTGTAGAAGCAGAAAGTGTACTATATGGTAATTCTCAGTACCTAAAAGTGTTATAGCAGAGTCTAATGGTCTACCAGGAGTCATCTTACAATATTAAAACTGTTTTTTGAAAATGTATAGATGTCTATAACCAAACTAATAATTGTCAATTTTAAAGTTAACTTAAAAGTGTGTCTGGGTAGGGAATGAGCAGAGGTAATATTAATGACTCATCTAAAATTTCTTTATGTCCACATTTGTAAAGTGACAATGAAAATGAAAGTTGCAATGTAACTTGGCTGAAGAAAAGAAATATCATCTAAGATAGTAAAATCACATGGAATATTCTGTTCTCTGAAACCTAAGTGATTAGTAATTGCTCCTGGCTCTTAACTGAAAACTCTTGTAGTAAATGAACTAAATTTTTTTCAATTAGAATCTTAAAAATATATATTCCTATAGAAAAAATCATATGCAAATGTTGCAAAAATATGATAATGAAACTCCATTTGTCCATTATTCAGTGTTAACAATTATCAACTGTGGAGCCATCTGGTTTTATCGACTTGTATATCCAATTCATTTGGCTACAAACCTAATTACTTTGAAGCAAATGCCAAATATAACATCTTTTCATGGGTAAATATTTTACTATGACTATCTAAAACATAAGGACTCTTTTTTGAAACATCAAAAAACAGACCACATGTATGAAGGGAAAATTGTGAAAATGCACATTTTTTTCTAGCCTTCAAAATCCTCAAATGTTCACACTTTGCAAAAACAGTTGCAGAAAGTTTATTTTCCTAATAAATTATTTTCTGAAAACCAAAAGCACTTTTTCAAAGTTAGTAAGCACTTTAGTGTCAATCCCACCATTTGAATTAATGGAAAAGAGAACAGTGTTAGGAATGACTTTAGAAATGAAATTGAGTTTTAAAATTATGAGTAGTGTAAGTCTACCTTACAAGTGAAAATCTTCTGGGATTCACAAAAGTCCTAATGAGAAGATAATGGAGTTGTATGTATTTGACAAGAATGGTTGGAAATCCAAAAATTTCATTTTAGGCCACACTTGTAGCAGATGTCTGAGCAATTCTGAAGAGCATATCATGGCTTCTTAATAGTTTGATAACCACACATTTAATTCTTGGTTCAGTTAAGGAAGCTAAAGTTAAATGATTTCCCTGTTAGAAGCAGTCAATTAGTAATAGCTGTTATAAGTAACTTATGTCCAATCAAAGTGCTATTTACTTTATACATGGCACTGTGGACTTTTCTAGAAAATCTATTAAACAATTTTACTTTTATTTTCCCATTTTGCTTATATAACTATGCCTCATTTTGATTGATGGTTCAGTGTTAATTAAACTGTTGTAAGTTGAAATATAATTTAAATGAACTTATGGTGCTCATGGTTTCCCAAAGACCTTAAAATAAATCTTTATGAATTAAAGAATCCTATTGAATACTGCATTAAAGAATCCTATTGAATACTGCATTGAATACTCATTTCTCTATTTTATAAACTTTTAATTTATTTTATATAAGTAAAGGCTAATTATGTAGACTTACAAATGCACTTGTAGAAAAACTTAAGTAATGCATGGGTGTGGAGAGTTTAGCTAAGCTCCCAGTGGCAGTGCTGCCTCATAGTTCATTTTGTTTGGCCAATCATCTTGCAGTAACTGGAATATGACACTAGCCCCTCATGCAAGTACATATGCATATAGCAACCTGAAGAGTCACAAGCAGATATAAGTTCCTAATACAACTTCCCACGAGCTCTAATGGTCAACACTCTCCCCTGCCTCCCATGGGCTTCAACTTATGCTATCCTTTGATAAGACCACCAAGAAGCACACCCTAAGCCCCCTCTTTTTAAAAAATATATATTTTATTGATTTTTTTAGCAGAGAGGAAGAGAGAGAGAGATAGAAAGTTAGAAACATCTATGAGAGACAAACATCGATCAGCTGCCTCTTGCATACCTCCAATGGGGATGTGCCCAAAACCAAGATACTGTAATGCCCTTGACCTGAATCGAACCCGGAACCCTTCAGTCTGCAGGCCGATGCTCTATCCACTGAGCCAAACCAGTTTTGGCATAAGCCCACTCTTTTGGTTTAACTTGACCAATACCCCTTAGCCTGGGAATTCCAAAGCATTTCATCAATGGACCCTAACAAAAGCATTGGGCACCATGTCCTGTCTCTCCCCTTGTCTGTACTTTGCCTTAATTTCTCCATGTACCTCCTCAAGGGTACTTCCTCCAAGACCTGAGTGATAAACTCCATTTCAATTTGCCTTGTGGTCTGTTGTTGAATAGAGAGACTTATCATCCAACATCTTATGCTACACTTAGCAAGTGTTATTTTGATAAATTTGTAACAATGGGAAAAGGAAATATGTGACACAGGTATTGTTAGTAACAACAAAAGCTTCTGGGAAAATAAAATAATTTAGAATGATGAGGATCTTGTATAGTTTTCTCTTCCACCTGAACTGTTCTTTCCTCTGGCTGAATCTCATATGTTCTTATGCAACATAGTAATCTCTGTAAGCCTATTTAATAGAAAACCAATAATATATACTAACAATATATTTCATGAGACTATAACTCAGAAAACAAAATATATAGCATTAATATGGTAATATTTTTTCTTTATATTAAGACATATTTTAATTTAAAATAAATTGGATGTTCCTCAAAATAAGTATCATAGCAATCAGAGATAGATTTAAAACCCGAGTAGCTGATTTGCTTCAAAATAAAATATAAAAAGTATCATAATTAGATTAATAATAAAGATAATTAATATTTATTCAGCATTTCCTAGGAGAAGACACTGTGCTCCAGGAGATACATATTAATGAAATTTTGCAGATGGGAAAAACTAAGGCTCATAGCCATGAAATATGCTTTAATATTTAAGAGCACAATATTTAGAGTAGAGAGAGACCCGAGTCAAAATTCTAACTCTGCCTTTTTTGAGTACTAAGTCTGAGACAAAAGACAAGATATTAAATGTCTTTCAAATTTCTACTGCCATAATTTGGATAAACTTATCTTGCAAGATTGTTCTGAGAACTAGATATTATATATGAAAGCACCTGTCGAACAGAAGACATTAAACAGGTTAGAACTAACATTATACTGCTTTACTACTGTGTAACTATTACTTATTGCTGTAACTGTTGTCATACCACTTTATGCTGTTCCCGTTTCTAATAAAAAGAATACTGTGATATTTACCATTTCCACTTTAGTTTTCCCATGTGACTAAAATGAATAAAAGTACAGTAATCATAATTATTAGTTCATTGTAAGCTACTTGCTCAGAGATATTTCAAGCTACTTGCTCAGAGATAATATTTCAAAAGTAACCTTATTTCCAAGTGAGTCCAATCTCTTGAAGAATTAATAGAGTACATAACACATTCTACACTACAGAGATGAACAGCCTTTGGCCATTTCTTAAAATGCTTAAGACCTTGGAACAAATTTCTGTCCATTTATCTTTCTAAAACTGACATTCTCTATAAACTAACTGATAATCAGTGGTTAATTCAAAAGATAATCACTCTCTATAACTCACCCATTTTTAATAATCTTGGTAGGACCTGTAAAAAATTACTAATACCCCAAGAATTCTCTCCCTCGAGTAAAATTACTTCCCCATTAACTTTTTAAATATAATTACA